CGTACCGTATAAACCGGAATATAAGTCGAGATATTTTCATTAAAGTAATAAGCGAAAGTCGCCCCTCGTCTTATATAATGGTGTCTAGCCGAAAGACCACCACTGTCTGGCAACAGGTGGCTTGCATGTGCTTGAAAAGCCGGATGCGGCCATATCCGCATCCAAATCTAAACGCAGGCTGTTTTTTTTTTTTTTCTCTCTGTCTGTTTTCTTTGTGTTCGTGATTTGCTTCCGATCTGTTCTGAATTTTCGCTCCGCTTGACATTGCGCTGCAATTTCCACTGTCTGGCAACATGTGGCTTGCATGTGCTTGAGAAGCCGGATGCGGCCATATCCGCATCCAAATCTAATCGCAGGCTGTTTTTTTTTTCCTCTGTGTCTGTTTTCTTTGTGTTCGTGATTTGCTTCCGATCTGTTTGAATTTTCGCTCCGCTTGACATTGCGCTGCAATTTTAGTGGGTTTTCTTTTCGTTCACTGAATATTAGTAGCGGTGCGAGGAGGCAGCACTCAGCTCCGTTTTCAACTAGATGTTGTTCAGTTCGCAGAAGCGAACGAGAATATGGCTGCTCAGCGCCACTTTAGTGTATCGGAAAAAAGCGTGCGCTATTGGAGGGCACAGAAAGAGAAGCTGCAGATGTGCAATCCTCAAAAAATGTCGTTCCGTGGACGAAGTGCCGTTCATCCAGAGCTGGAGGATAAGCTAGCGGACTTTGTGCGAAGTTCGTGCACGCTCGCAGCCAAAGACCATAGATACCATTCGCAAGAAAGTAGTGGAACTCGCTCGAGAAGCTGGGCTCAGGAAAGAAGAGTTTCGGGCACCAAACTCTTGGGTGCGTCGATTTATGCGACACAAAGAATTTTCTCTCCGGCAGCGCACATCCATCCATCAAAAGTTGCCGGAAGAGTTCGAGGACAAGCTCATGAACTTTCAGCGCTTCAAGAACCGGTTTCGGGAGCAGAACGACTACATGATGGGGCAGATTGGCAATGCCGATGAGACCCCCGTGTGGTTTGACATGCCTTCGTCGACCACGATCACGCAGCGCGGCGCCAAGGATGTGAAGCTGTTGTCCACTGGCAACGAGCACTCACGCTTCATCGTCATGCTGGCATGCACGGCAGATGGTAGAAAGCTTTCGCCCTTCATCATTTTTAAACGCAAGACAATGCCGAAGGACGTGTTCCCGCCCGGTGTTGTCGTTCGCGTCAACAAAAAAGGATATATGGACGAGGCCATAATAATCGAATAGATAAGAGTGGTGTGGAACCATCGGCCAGGTTCACTGCTGCATCTTCGCAGCATGCTGGTGTTGGATGCGTATCGTGGCCACTTGACCGATGCAGTGAAACGCGCACTCGGCAACGAGAAAACGGACCTCGTCATGATACTAGGTGGTATGACGTCCACCCTCCAGCCGCTCGACGTTGTGCTAAACAAGCTGTTCAAGGACCGAGTGCGGCTGAAATACCAAGAGTGGATGTCCAGCGACAACCCCAAGACACCGACGGGCTGCCTACAGAGGCCTCGGCTTGCGACTGTTTGTGGCTGGGTACTTTCTGCCTGTCGTTCCTTGCCGGATTCCATGGTGGAAAATGCTTTCAAGAAATGTTGCATCAGCAACTCACTGGATGGCACTGACGACGACGCACTGTGGGAGGCGGCCAGCGACAAACTCACGTCTTCATAAGACAGTAGTGCTTTGTCGAACGAATAGAAGCAGTTGCGATGGTGGTTGAGGGGAGCTCCGACGATCGGGGTGCAGTGCGCCCAATTCGCAAATAAATGTGGTTCGGCAGTTTTAGGTTGTTTTCCTTTTTTTTCTCTGTCGGTAACCTGAACTTGGGGGGTCGACATATATTCCCATTGGACTTATAGTCCGGTTTATACGGTACATGGCCGACATGTCGGCGATGGTGAGACCATTTGTGAGAACAGTGAAACCCCTCAGTGAGACCAATAGTCTGGGAGTAAAAGGCGGTGGTGCGGGGGTGGCTTGTCTGGCTATGTCTGAAAATCGCCCGAGTCAAATTAGTAGTAAAGGTGGAGGATTGAGGTGCATTCTTAAGGATGCACCTCAATCTAGGCACACGGGCGTCAAGCATTCTCGCCTCCATCGAAAATGCAGCAACCGCGGGCGGGATTCGATTCCACAACCTGCGGATCAGCAGTGGAGTGTCTTAGCCACTAGACCACTATGGCGGCTTTTCAGCTCAACATTCAATAGCTGAGGCATGCTTTTCACATAACACAGATGTTCATAGGGAAACTCCGTGGTTGGTCGTGTTCAGTCTCTGACTTCAACGTGGCTCTCTCGACGAACGTTACTGTCGTCGCTGCAGCTGAAATGTCGCCAATCTTCGCCAGCTCATAAGGTCTTTGCTGACGTGGCGGAGGCCCCCGAAGTTAGGCTTAGTGACAGTTCAAGTAAGGCTGCTCGAGGTGGAAGCAAGCGCACAACCTAGAGGGGGGGTGGGGGGTGGAAAGACACTCCCAGGTGGGCCACAATGGTTTGTAGCACTGGTGTCGGCTATCACCAGCAGGCATAAGATCAAAGTCCTCAGCCACGGGAACCACTACGTCAGGCGGTGATGAAGGATGACCTCGTGAGTGACAGGGACGGCAATGAGGATGTTCTTCAAGAGAGTCTAGAGCATTGACAGAGTCACTTACAAGCAGCAAATTGGCTGGGTCAAGCAAGGTTGGCATGAATAGTGAGGTCATACTGTATTTACTCGCGTAATGCAAGCAATTTTTTTCTCGAAAAATTGGAGTACAGTTGGGGGTGCGTTTATTAGGCTGGGCAAGTTTTATCAAAACTTTTTTGGGATGATGCGATAATGCTCAATAAAGGGTTAGGTCACTTAGCCTTTCACAATTGACATATGTGCACACTGTTTGGAAATGGCTTCCTTGTTACGCTTCACTATTTACAAGCAGCAAATTGGCTAGGTCAATTCGTGATGAAGGCCCATGGGCCCTACCCGCGAAATATACCCAAGGACTGCACCGAGGGACATCCGTGGTGGTTTAAGGCGCTATTTTCAGCAAGCTGTCCCTGTGCCGCCCACACCATCCATAAAAGCATTTCACGGCTTTTTTTCCTTGCAATCGTTTAGCCACAACAGTGGTATCAGCTGTGATCTGGAGGCGCGCGCTACGACGCTCTTTGCCAACTTCGTCGCAACCTCACATGACAACCACGACGACGCCATCGACACTGCAGCAAGTAACCAACATTGCAGCAAGCTACCACCGAAGCATCGAAACAAACCTTTGAAAGCAAGATTAAAGACAAAAAACAGCCACCGCCTCACTGTCCAAATGAGAAATTACTGCAAAAAAGGCAGCCCATATCTTTCTTTCTTAGAAGTATGCACGGATAACAAGCACGAAGAGCAAATTGCAGTCGAAGCGAGAATTGGGGGTGCTTTCATATTGCGGAAATGGTCCCAATTTTCGAGGGGCTACAAGCAATTCTTTCTTGCTTTCCAGAAACCGGTGACGTTATGATGATGAATGGCCGATCGCGACAGACATGGTGACAAGAAATCCTGTCGTTGGCACTCGAAAATCACGTGCATGTGGATGAGCCAGTTTCGTATTTGCAGAAAGCGACCACTGTTTGGCGCGGATAGTTACAGGACCTTCAGTCGCTGTGTGCTTGTGAGCTGCATTGTCTTTGAAACTCACGCTGTTTGTGAACCCCACTGTGGAGCACAGATAACTTTTTTTTTAAACGAGACGTGCTACGCACAGATAGAAACAAAAACAATACGGCGCGCAGAAAAAGGGTGGTAGGGAACGTGCAGAGATGGCCGGGGGGGGGGGGGAGGGGTCGGCATAGTAATAGAAAACTAATAGACTGAACGGCCAAAGAGGTACCAGCTGTCGGCTAGCAGGACTGCAGAGGATGAATGTGGGGGGCACGTTTATTACGCGGGAGAAAAAAAGAAAGATCTAAATTTTGACAACTGAAGTCGGGAGCGCATTTATTATGCAAGTGCATTCAGTACGCGAGTAAATAAAGTACTTAGCTCACTCTAACTATGTCGGCTTAGTTAGTCATGAGATTTGGGTGGTCTTTTGGTGTAAACTGTGGTTATTATTGTTTCTTTCAGACAATCTTTTTATATTGTAGAGTGCCAACCATGTGTTTAGTAAATGTGTTGTGCCACTTACAGTCTTGTCCGAATCCATCACGTGTAACCACCCAAATTCGTAACGAAGGTCCATGGGGCCCAACTTGCAAAATGTACCCAAGGGCTGCACCAAGGTACATTCGTCTAAGCGCACTGTCAAACTCCGAAAAAACTTGCTGCTTTTGCCCGTGCCCCTGGTTGACTTGTTTCCCAGCAGGTGGCGCAATGAGCACCACAGCGCCAGCCTTAGCCTTCATGAGCACAGCACCACCTATTGCTTGGCGGCTGTTACAGCTTAACGAGACTAATCATCGAGATGCAAGTGCACCTTGAGGCCCAAAAACTTTAGATGAAGTGACAGCACCCACCACAGTACACTGCGGCTGATGAAACAGCTCTCAAAGAATGCAACTGAGAAGGACTTATAGAACAAAGGTGCTGATTGTCTCAGCCGCTGACAGTCACCTGAAAATACCATGAGCCTAGCATTTTCAGATTGTTGCTTCACTATTTCTGAGCCATCTCCATAAGGAATATTTTGCCCACATCAGAAAAATGTAGTTTCTTTAATTTATTCAAGAACTCAATAAATGAACATTTGCTATTAAATATTTCATCTTAGTCTTTATTTGTACCTGGCTTCTGTTACTTGTATTTATAAGTTCTTTGGCTCCATGCCCTGTTTTTCATTCTGCTTTGTGCAATGCTTGGATTTTTTATGGTCCAAAAAGCTGCTAATTCTTGTTTATAATCGAGGGCCCGCTGCAGTCCTATACTTTGGGATCCTCATCTGTAACATCCTTGGTAACAAAACTGATTTATTGAATGGCTCACTGTGCAGTGTGCATGCAAGGCTTACCCATCTGTGGGCACCAATGCAATGGCACGCGGCTGGTCCAAATCCCGCCAAAGAAGAACCTTGCGGTGTGAGCCATCCAGCTCAGCTACTTCGAGGCGGTTTGTCTCGGAGTCGGTCCAGTAAAGCTTGTGACCCACCCAGTCGCAGGCCAGCCCATCGGGCGACACCACCCCCATCGAGGCCACGGTGAGGTCGGTGAGGCCATCCAGTGAGCGACGTCGGATCACCTCCAATCCCACATCAGTCCAGAAAACCAGACCTCCCTCGTAAAGAAAGTCCAATGCCGCTGCGTCCTCCAGACCATCCACCAGCACTCGGGAGCCATTAGCGCGGCGGCCATCGAGCTCCAGCAGCCGGATGTCCTTGCGGTTCGCAAAAAGCAGCTGCACTCCCCCTGCATTGGTAGAGGTAACCATTTCAAACAAATGTGCACCGGACAACATGTAACAGTCACGCGAGAAATGCCACTTGGCAACGGCACCCCAAGTGCAAGTGAACATCATGTGTTTTCAATAGGCTTGTGGGAATATTGGAACGAATAGTAGGGTATTTGAATTTAAATTATCGAAAACTTTGAAGTATTCGCAATTAACAAATAGGTGTGTAATATTAGTCTGCATGTAACTGCCTGTAAAGTGGTTTCGCTGCAGTTTAGGGGTGCTAAACCGTGAAAGCATGTATCCAGAAAAAATCTGCTCCACTGTGAAACCTCACTTCAAATTTAAATGAACATATTACTCTCAAATCGATTCATCATTTCTTAAGTTTAAATCTTTTTATGACCTGCTCGAAATGTAACGAATTTTAAAATGTTATGCATTCTACAGGTAATCACTTGCATCCTACTGAAAGTCAAATTGTGCTACTGCTCAAAAACGCGAAACACTTTTTGATGATGATGATACTGTCATGTCGTCATGATGGTGCCGAAAGCAAAAAGTCTATGTGATCGAAGCAATACTGTTTATTTGGGCAAGCTTTTGCCAGAAAATAAGTCAAACAACAAGCAAGACTCGATTGAAGCAGATAGAGCACCGGCCCCCGTTAAACTGATCATCGGCAGAATGTGGTTTTTTATACAGTGGCCTTCAAACCATCCAGCATTATCACTGGTGCTCGCAAAAGTGCTCGAACAAACTTCACTATTCATGTCCTGGGTGGAATCTTGATATAAAGAATAATTGTGAAGCTTTTTGAACGTTGTAGTGCGGTCTGCACTGAGCAGTTCTCGCAGGTGAAACCGAAATGCATCAACATAAAGAAACACGCATGGCAATATGAGGTGTTTCATGGTGCAAGGGTTATTTGATAGCCAAAAAGCGCCAGGTAATCGGACAAAACCTGTGAACAATGATAATGGCTGTACAACGGCCTAATAATTCAACACACTAAAGGTGTGAAAAACATACCAGTATTAAAATAATGACACTGACATGCAATGTGCCTAGCAAGAATGAATGACTAGTGGCTGAGGAAATCAAATTATGGGAATATCGCATGAGCACAAACGTCTCATTACCAACCCTTGCACCCAAGGGCCGCACAGAAAATAGTGAATCATGTTTTAAAGACTCGTTTTCTACCGACATATGAGTGGCGTTTACAATCAGCATGGTACTGGAATGATATCTTCTCAAAATCCAAACATGGTACAACTGACGGTACATGTCTCAACGTAAGTACATAAGTGCTCCCACATATCCTTTCATCGCCGCTGTAACTATGTAGTGTCTTCGTACTCCCTCAACAACAACACTAGGACTCAATGCCAGACATTTAAATACCTAGGAGTACATATATCTTGCGATCTGTCCTGGACCCATCATATACACCAACTAACCAATTCCTGGAATCGCTTATATATTAGCTACACCGTAACTTATCATCAGCATCCCCTACAGTCAAATTACTTGCACATAAAACATTGAATCCGATCGAAACTACAATATGCCTATACTATCTATGACAACCACCAAGTTAACATAACTACTTCTCTTGAATTGGTCCAGAACCGTTGCTGCCAGGTTCATTCTTTCTGATTATTCCTACAAGACAAGTGTATCCGCCTTTAAATCCCAGCTATGCCTCCCCTCAGTTTGCCACAAGGCTGCTCGTCTAATTTATTTTTTAGATTTTTCCATTCGCTGCCTCAAGAAAACCAAAGCATCCTTCCTGCACATCATCCCTCTCACCACTCCCATCAAAATGCTGTGTATCAGCCTTGTGCACACACAACGACCTATCAACATTCTGCATACTGCTGAATAATGGAATACCCTTCCTTCACATATCGTCCTCATCACTGACATTGCTCTACTCAAGGATGCAATTGAAAACCATCTTTCAAGCCATGAAATATAACCTGACCCGTCAATCTTTTGTTTGCCCACCTCTCATGTAACGTACCATGTGGGACCTTTGAGGTATCATGAATAAATGAATAAATGAGAGGATCTAATTCTTTGTACCAAAGCACAATAAGTGATTCACTCCAGTTCTCACACATGAATGGATCACCACCAGACAGAAGGTATGCACATGTACTGTGTGCGGGTCCTGTTCTTAGCCTAATAAGTGTTACTTCTGTGAGGCCTAACTTTGATACTGAAGACAAATTACCAAGATGCAGCTTGACAACATGTTTATTCTGTGTTTGCCTATCCCATGAGCCCTGCTAATAATCCTGAGCTTCCGTTTCAGAAAAAGTTTTAGGTCTACTGCAGGGATGGGTGTCCATGCATTGGCGGCATTTTCATGGACGAATGCAGCTAGCTTGTCCACCAACGGGGTTTCAATCTAGCAGTGCCCTGGCACCTAGCATACATGCTGTTTGAGTGTGCAGACCTTTCATACAAGTCAGTAGAGTGAGACAAGGACAGGGCTTCTATGCTTCTTCACGTGCAATCAGCCGCGATAAAGCTTGTTGCGTGAGAGTGGTTTCTGGGTAAAATGTACTAGACGCCTACACTTGGTAAATGGCTACTAGCGAAAACATTGCAAAAACTGCCTCGATTCGGCATGCAGAAATTTGAGGGAACACAAGCACAAATCCTAATGCACATCTTATAGGAAGACGAGTACAAAGACATGTTCCGAAAGCAGTATCCGGAGCACATTCTGGAAATGTCATCAGCTTGAAAAAATAAGAAGCAATGTTTACGGCTTACCTTCTTTATTCAAGCATTTCGAGTCCATGTATGTGTACAGCAAGGGACGCAGCAATACGTCGGCACTGTGATTATCAGCCAATGCGCACCTCACGTCGATACGTCTTACACACGCGGGCTGTGTGTATTGTGCCATGCCTCTAATATGACGGTATGCACACAACCGACAGATGGCAGCGCTTTTGCATAAGGCCTATAGGTCACATAATTTGTTTGTTTCAAAAAAGCGTAGCAGTTGCCTGTTGATCATCTTTTGAAAATATTTCCACAGACAGCTTCTACAGGCTATAGGCTTGTAGCCCCAAACAAACAATGAGTTCTGGCTCTGTTTCAAGACAAACACCACAATGACCTCCTTTTTTAAACAAAAGGCATCTCGCCAGAAGACAACGAATAGTTAAACCGGCGAAGGGAGTTTTTCTTGTTTCAGGAAGTACATGTGTCTGCGTATCATACACTGCACGATCAGAAGCTGTGGCAATATTATTGCAGCAGTTCAGTGCTGCCAGTAGCTCTACTTAGCAGAATGGTTGATTATAAACACGGTGTAAGATACAAACACTTTAGGTGAGGACACTTCTTGGCTTTCTTATGGGACGCGATCGACCAGATAAAGTAACAGAGATGCGCGTTCGTTGGATTGCTGCCGGCAGCGCACCTATTGGCAAGACAGCACAACTTAAAAATAGAAAAAAAAATTCTCGCAACGTTGAGCAACCAGTGAGGCTGGTGGCAACGCCAGCGTTCCGAAAGCGTGGCATTTTTCACTTGTGAAAAAACGGGTCATTCGGCTGCTTTCAGTTGCTGGCGTGCCTTTGGCGAGTTTCATGAAGTAACAACTGACGTTATCATTCCTGTTTGCGAAATTAACTTGTGCCACCATGAATGAATTCTGCTAGAAGAAGACGCCCACACAGTAACTGAATTCGGGTAGAAAGTGTTTCGTTAGTCATTGCCGGTCAGGCTACTCTATGTGCCAAGAAAATACATTATTATCCAAAGTCCCTTCTGATCCTGAACGCCTCAAAGCATGCACTCAAGCGGTTACCAGGAAGGATTATCCACTCAGCACAAAGGATGCAGTCTGCAGCAAACACTTCACAGATGAGATGTTTCGTCGTGAATGTGAATGAATAATTTTAGCTGGACGAACAGTTGTTTAATATTTCTTTTATCATTATGAGGAAACCTACAAGACAGCATTAAATTTAGGTAATTTTTCTGCTGGCCAGTTTCGTAGAAACTCACTTTTTTTTTTCTTTTAGACGCTAAATACCAAGGAGTATTGAACATTAGTAGAAGAACATTGTGTCTTGTATATACTTTTGCTCACTAACTTGACCCCTCAGTGCTTCAAACAAAGTATTTTCAATAATGATAAATCTCACAGGCATTTTTTGGTGGTAGCTCATCTGTTAAATGAAAAATCCAGTTGTTTTATGTGAGTTCAAACGTTCACCGAAAGTGGCGCAACTAAACATAATAAAAAGGTAGAACAAGCATAGATTATTTCTCCAGGCTTCATAGTTTGTCTCACGAGATAAGCACAAGCACCGCGCGTAACAAACACCAACTATAAGAGAAAAAGGGCTTAGTTATGAACCCTTTCCAGTCTCACCCCGTCAGCAGGTTGGTCTTATCAAGCAGCAAATAGTTTCGGTACGCCGGAACATTGTGCGTTCGTCACACGTTCGCACAACCATTGTTCCCCGGCGCGTTTAGTAATGTGCATCTCATCGTGGTTCAGCTGCTCATGTTTTGCACGTTCCATTGAGTGTTTTCGTGCCTGTGAGGTTCGAAATTGTGAAAGGAAGGGTGCTGACATGCCCTGCGATTTATATAGGTCCATTTGTTTCACCTGCACTTCGTGAACCGGTTCACGGAGGCGCTGCCCTTTGGCATTCGTTTCACGAGTTGATCATGGCACCAGGAGCACCGTAGTATTCAATTCGAAAAAGTGTAGCTGTTGTGCACGGCTAGTTCATAAATTCCCTACACCTGCTTATGAGGTAGTTCGGAGTCCGTGCAGCACAAAATGGCTGCAGCTGCAGCAAACGACACAGCCGATGGCATTCGTGTCTATTTGCCAGGCAACGCAAGCGGCCAAGTAACGCGAGCGGCGCCGTCTACCATGCCAAGCAACGCAAGCAGCGCCGTTTATACGAATCACAGCCTCCACAACCCTCGAGACAGCCGACGAGTAGCATAGCGCTTGCAAGACATGTGC